AGAGACCTGTCTCACACCAGATCTCTCTGTCGCGGAGATCTTGATGGATGGTTACTTTGTTTTTCGAGCTGACTCGAAACGAAAGAGGGCCGGTAGGCTTACTTTGTACTTACATGTCTCCCTCTCTGACATCACTGATGCACCTTTTAGTGATGCACCTTTTAGTGATGCACCGTGGATCCCAATCCCGCTGTGCAGGTCCGACTCTCTCTTTATCGGCGTTGTCTACCGTAGGCCCTCCAGTCCCTCTGAAGATGACCAAATCCCCATACGAAACCTTCAGCAACTCTCCTACAGCTACCGCTTCACTCATCTTCTGCTGGTGGATGACTTAAACGCTCCTAAGTCCTCCTGAATGGAGCTCCAGCTCGTCGGATCAAGCGAACTTTCTGCAGCGGCGCTGATTGAATTCACTCAAAAGAGCGCTTGAACTCAACATGTCCTCGCACCCACCAGATAACGCGCAGACCAACTATCATACCTCCTGTATTTGATCATCAGTAACAAAAGGCACTTCTTTGATCAAGTAATGATTAACGCTCCACTGAGACAAAGCGACCACTGTGTGCTCACCTTTGATTTCATCTGCCACTGGGCTAGAAATTCCGAACCCCAAACGTGGCTTCGAAACTTCTGACGTGCAGACATATCAGGAATGCGCATCTGTATGGAACAAGTCACACTGGGACCAGCTTCATTGGAAGACTTTTATGGGGCTGTGGTCCAGAAAGTTCCCGGGGCTGACGCGAGTTCGTCCCAAAAAGACCAGCACGCACTCGGATGAACCGCAGGCTGCCAAAAAGGATTCGGCGACTTCTGCAAATGAGGTCACAACTCTTTCTCAACAAGTTGACTACAGGGGATACAGAAGATGAGCTGATATTCCGTAAAATGCGGAACCGCTGTAAATCAGAAATTTGCCAATGGAACATACGAAAACAAGTCACCATTCTGGACCTCGCTCGAGAAAATAAAAACATCTTGTTCAAATACGCGAGACATTGCCACAGAAAACAAGCCATCCGCGTTCTCTTTGAGTGACAGTAACATGTAACCCAAGAGTGATCCAACAGCGGTATCTGAGGTTTACAGAGAATGCTATGCAGGTCTGTATTCAGCTCAGTCACATCCATTCTTGCCAAGTCGTAAATACGAACAGCCTCTAACCGAATTGCTCTTCGCGGTGGAGGACATTCGTCAGCGTTTGCACAGAATCAACCCTTTTTGCGCGTTGTGGTCTGATGAGGTCCATCCAAAGATCCTGAAAGAAGCGTCGCCTGTACTGGCAAATCTGTTATACCTGGTGTTTCGTCAGTCGCTTGACGAAAGTCGCCTTCCCTCTGCTCAGAAGGAAGCGATTGTCACGCCAATCTACAAAACTGGTGACTGACTATCGCCTGGCAGCTACGGGCTCATAAGCCCCACTAGCGCGCCATGCAGGGTAATGGAACGCATTCTGAATAGAGCTATGCTACCAGCAACCTGATATCTCTAGCTCGGCACGGATTTCTCCCAAACCGTTCTTGTGTGACAAACATGCTCCTGTTTATGAACAACTTAATCTAAAACAAGGACGAGGGACCCATATCGGATGACATTTTTCGATTTCTCTAAAGCATTTTATGGGGTTCCACACGTTCAGCTGCTCCACAAACTCGATCTTATGGGGGTTCAAGGGAGAATCCTACCTTGAATCAGGCATTCCTTCAGATGGATCCGAGTGAGAACAAACATGACATATTCATCCCCAGCACCGATCCCAATTGGAGTTCATCAGGGCAAAGTTTTTCGCCATCAAGCACCGTTCCGGAACGCCTGTGTCATGTGGCGATTCAAGATCAGCTGTGAAGATGGAGGATCCCAAGTTATCCCGCGTTCTTTGTTACCCATGCCGATGATCCTACCTATCCTGCTGGTTTTGATGAAATGATAGAGGGAAATAAACGGTGAATTCTCCTAACTCAAAATGGGAGCCCAGACGTTGGTGTTCTCCGCAAGGCAATGATGAAGGGAGGGCTTGAGTAATAGAGAGGCTCCGCACCAGCCATGTTTAGCTGCCCTCTGTTAGCGAAGCAACAATCCAACCTTTTGTGCAGAGTCAAATTATGCAAGATTGGTTTGAGTAACGTTCTTGCGTTTTCTCAAAAAAACGCTTCTGGATTTCAGTCGGGATTCACTATTAAAACTGAATCCGATTGAATCTGATGATCGATTTCGTGACAGAACTTGCACAAAAACGGAGACTTGACTCGTCCTACTGTTATCTACTCACAAACGTTTGGCGAAGTTTCGGTATTTTTTGCAGCGTGTAGTGATTCGCAACCTAAATTGTGATCTTGGACGTGTTGTTCCATCATCCATCGCGCAGCAAATCGCGCGGCAGCCATGAACTGCTTCTTACATGGCGAGGTAAAAACAAATGAAGGCATGTTTAAGGAACCAAAGCAGAATGTTTACTCAAAACCCTCAAAAGGAACAGGAGATCTTCCAGTTGCCAGGAGCATATTACCAACCCGGTGGCTGCGGGCAGACGACAGCAGTACTTCATTCGTGGAGTTCCTAGAATAAAGGTTACTCTTCAGACGACCGGCTAGGGTCGCGAACATCTATCGAACTTGAAGGCACGGAGTATATGACGGCGCCATGTTTGAAGGTTTGAGGCTAAATATACGTCATGCGATTCATGCATAAGTCGACATTCTGGTCGGCTAGTTGTATAGAGGCCAGGAAGCGCGCGCATTCAAAATGCATTCATGCATATGCCAAGAAAAGGCCGCTGGCTATTCGCACAATGAGCTTGAGTTCTCGAAATCTACAGCATTTTCACACCTGCAACTACATAGCGTAGAATGTCTATGTATAATGCATATGCTCCTCTACTATAGAAATTGCTTAACCATGGCGGTTTGTTTAAGTGAAATAAATGTACAGGTGAATAAACACCACCGACAATGAATAAGTTACCTGTAAACCGGCTGTAAATTATTGTAAGTCTACCATATGACATTATGTGTGCCTCTCCCTCCCTCTTTTACCCTATTGCAGGTACCACGGACGAGTCACCACGGGCTCTGGACAAGGAAGAGTATCCCACTTGTACATCCCCCTAATTGACCTTGACCCAACTTTGTACACCCCCGACTTCCGGTTTCGGTTTCGTTCGAATACATGTGTGTCGTTACCACGCTCCGGTGTTCTCTTCTGTCTCACCCGACCTGCGCGCATGTGTGCTGTGCATACCGTGTGGACTCATTATTACCAGTCCGTATCTCTGCACATTTCAGAACTGACGTGTGCCGTCACTACATCCTCTCGAACGTCGAATACCGCTGACTTCCTGACGTCCCGCGCTACATACCTCCTGAGAAAAAATCCCGAATTTTGGGGAAGTTTGTCTCAAGTTCAATGAACGTATCTTTCATGTATTTTTCCACCGGAAGAGATTTCCTCAACATTCTAGAATCTACATTGCCTTTGGAAATGCGACATATGCTTAGGCGCATTCGTGCAAACAAATTTTGGTCGATGATTCTTTGTTGCCAGTAAAACTTCCGTAGTGCACGCATGTGCGTGCATGTGCATTCTCCAGCACAGGTGTCGACAGTCTCGGAGCATCTGTGTGTTTGCACCACACGTCGGAATAACGCTATCTGCTGCCATCGGGAGAAACATATGTGGCTATATTGACCTTCCTGTCCCTGACACACAAGGACGCGTCCGGTCTCACGAAGTTTTTCCAGGACCGAAGGCATATCATCTGCTACATTAAAACCCAACCATTCGGCACCTACTCATGCTTGTGTTTATGGACAGCTTAACCCAAGCCAAGGACGAAGGACTCATATCGGACGCCATATTTTCGACTTCTCAAAAGCATTTGATAGGGTCCCACACGTCCCGCTGCTCCACAAACTCGAGTCTTACGGGATTCAAGGAAAAATCCTTCGCTGGAACAAGGCTTTCCAATCGGACAGATCATTCTGAGTGAGAATAGGCTCGACCTACTCCTCTCCAGCTTCAGTCTCCATTGGATTTCCTCAAGCCTCCGACTTGGGACCACTCCTGTTTCTGATCTACGTCAACGACCTCCCAGACGTTCTTGGAGTCCATGTTTACTTTTTGCGGACGAATTTAAATCCTGGAGTTCCAATGCCAGTGCCCTCCAAATGGATGTAGACGCTGCCAAGTAGTGGTCGTTGGACTGGCACCTTCCTCTGAATGATGAAATGTGCGTCCATATGTCGTTTGGAGGGGATTCAGTGAATGCTTTTGTTATGCATGGTGAAAAGGGACCAGAAAACATCATGAGGACAGATGCCAAAAAAGATTTATGCATTTGGGTCTCCTCAAACTTGTCCTTCTCACTGCACCATGAGAAATCGGCCCAAAAGTCATTTGCCAACTTGCGGATGATCCGACGCACCTTCTCCCGTATTACTCGCATGGACTTCCAAATACTCTATGGGGCCTACGTCAGACCGCTCCTGGAGTACGCCAACCAAGTTGTCTGCTCAGGACGCACGAAAGACGTCACCTTCATTGAGCGTGTCCAGCGGGCCGCTACGAGAATGTTTACTGGCCTCAAATCCGTGGACTACGAAACGCGTCACGCGATGCTTGATCTTATTCCCCTGGAGTACCGTCGCCTCTGAGGGGACCTAATGCTTACTTATGCCCCGTTTGAACAAAGCTTGGCAAACGGGTTTTTTACCGTTGACCCAGCAAGCACCAGGCGAGGGCATAATAAGAAAATTTTCAATCTCAGAGAACACACATTCATTAGACGAAATTTTTTATCATTTCGGGCAGTAGCTGCGTGGAATGACCTTCCTCCGACGGTTGTCCACGCTCCTTGTAGCACCCAGTTTAAAGCACTGTTAGACGTATATTTATGCGATTCCTCGCGCTGACAAGCATGCTGCCCCGCGTTGAGAACATGAAGAGCAGTGATACACCCTCTTTTCACTTGGGTCTTTCAGGCCCAACCATTCGGCACCTACTCACCATAGCCGGTCGACACTTCCGGCGGTAGTTGTGTATATCCTCGGTTGTAAGAATCTTTCCGAATTCATCCGCCACAAGCTGCCGCATCTCAGATGACGGCGTTCCATATCTCAGCAGGGCCTGGCATGTGCCGAACTCGCCTTCTTTTAGGCGTCGATTGACTGGAAGCCGATCGTACAGAAACTTTGACAGTTTGTGGTTGTGTTCCTGAAAATAAGAGGTCACTGCCAGTTGGTTCTTTTGCCTCCGTATACAAAACCTCACTGGACAGCTGGTGCTTCGCGTACTTTTTTATTAGATTCCACGGCTTTCCGTTGGTCTTGGAGAGCGCCAGCTGCATTTGTAGTACACGCACAAATATCACAAAGTTATCCTTCATATATTCATTTAAGGTCTTCTCGAATGCCGTGAAGGATGAAAACGATACACCCACAAATTTCTCAACGAAAGCCACTTCCGAAGCCATAGCAGACGAAGTTCAAAGCCGAATGTCCGCCAATAATTTTCAAAAGAGATCGATTAAAACAAATCGCAAAAAATGACGGCAGATGAGGGTGGTTTTCAGTCTACGCATATATGCAAAGAAGTGCAACATTTTGACGTTAAGTTTTTTATTTCGCCCGCAGGGGTTTTACAGAAAAATGCATTGTGCCTCTAGCCGCTGGCCAAGAAAAGAACGATTTAAATGAGTAAAGCACATAAATTACGAAAATTGGTCTGTCATTGTGAGCAAAAATAGTCCAAAACAATGTGAAGAGTTTATTTCATATCTGTGCCGCTCTAAGTGAAGCATGTACAGTTTGATGTTTATAAAATTAATACATCAAGTTAAACATCAAAAACGTATCCAAGCATTTTGAAGGGCCCTACACGGCTTGTGCATGAATTAAATAAAAGTGGGGCCAAAATCATGGGGTAGAACATTGCGGCTGACGTTGAGAGCAGTGATGTAGTGGATAACGTGAGCAAATACCAGTTCAAAGTAGTGAAATCAAGTGAAAAAAATAGGCGAGATGATACAACTCACAGTTCGTTGGTACAGTTAGTTATTACCACCACAATAAATCCAAATCGATCTCCTTCCTGGAATCTTCCTTGATATATTCCTATATAGTTTCTATCCCGTCGTAGTCTAAAAGGTAGATCACCGCTCGTTAATTCACTACAAGCGTAATTCGACATAGCAAGTAGGGACCACGCCTTTCACGAGGTACAGAATTTGTATTGTGTCCATATTTCTTTTTCGTTCATTTTAAACAAAAGTTATTCGGTATGAAGTGAAGAGGAGTAAGCTGAGATTTTAGTGAGAGATAGAAAGTGGCACAAACTGCGTAATGATAAGTTACAAAGAAAGTACAATTGTACAATGGTCAGAAGGATCACCATAGAACTCCACCCTAGAGCGTTGCATAAACAAAATAAACGCTCTATAAGGAATGCTACTAAGATATGTAACTGTGCAGCTTCGTTGGTCAAGTCACTTTTCTACCAGAACGAGTATGAACAACTGGCTGTAAGTTGTCCGGCTTTGGAGTTGCTATGTCGTTCGTGTGAAGCGGAGGCGTAGATAAGCGTTGTGATTGGTTGATAGGAGAGATTACGGGGGGATCAACGTGAGCTACTTTTAGTCGATCGACGCTGATGGCATCTTGAACACCTCCTTTGTCGATGACGAAGTATTTAGGTCGGCGCGAAATAACGCGGTATGGGCCGACGTACGGTGGCTGTAACGGTTTCTTCACCTGATCAACCCTAACGAAAACGAAGTCACAATATTGTAGCACTGGGGAGATTTGTGATGCGCGAGTATGTAAACGCGTTGGTTGAGCTCTGAGATTTCTCACAAAGGAGCGTAAACGATTAACATACATTGTTGGGTCTACTCTCACAGCTTCCTTCTGCTCAGCAGCAAACTCGCCAGGGAGTCGGAGAGGGCTGCCGTAAACCATTTCGGCGGTCGAACAGCCTAAATCCTCTTTCACTGCAGATCGGATCCCCAAAAGTACGAGCGGGAGATGCTCTGCCCAATTTTGAGGATTACCGTGAGCAATCAATGCATCTTTTAGTACATCGTATGCGTTTACATCGGGTTTCTCGTAGATGATGTCAGCAATTTCGACGGCAACTTCGGGTGGAAGATGTGCAACAACGCAACTATACTTGGTTTGTTGTGATCTAACGCGACGGCACTCAAAAATTGCCTCTACCTGAGCAAACCACAGTCTAGCATGATGAATACCGTAAGCTGGTAGTCTTAAACTCAGAATATCTTGCGAGTCCATAGGTGAATCGTTTGAATCAGACATGATAGTAATGAGAAAAAATGAGTACGGGAGTTCTAGGCGATCTAAGGGAAATAAAATTCGGGCTCACCAATTATGTAGTGGATAACGTGAGCAAATACCAGTTCAAAGTAGTGAAATCAAGTGAGAGATAGAAAGTGGTACAAATTGCGTAATGATTAGTTACAAATAAAGTACAAATGTACAATGGTCAGAAGGATCACCATAGTGACACTAGGGTGCCAGCTGGGCACCAAGAAAGGAGCGCTAATAGTGATACGTTGGAAAAAAGTTCTTACTGGAGTGCTAAAAGTGGGCTTCTTTTGAGAGTTTTGCGAGTCTTTTCTAATGTTCCGATGGCTAACAACTGAACGCAACAAGGAAAATGACGTAACACATATGCCCTGGCTAAATTAGTGGTGACATTCATATACAGTTGGTGTGCGGTGTTCGAATATATTCTTTCAAATGAGACTCGGTCCTATAATTAAAACCGATATATGATGAGAAGTTGAGAAGCGTTTTTCAGCTGTTCTATCTCCATTGGAAGACATCAGCAGTGCGTATCTCGAGAAAATAGGGAAATTCCGAAACACTGACCTACGGACTCATAGTTAGAACACCTAACCTTCTAGGTTTCGCTTACAGAGGTAAGTGTGCTACTCATCATCCGGTCACCAGAGTCACATCGTGTGGGTACAAGATCGGACTTGTTCCTCAAGCTGCATCTCAGGTAGAAGTTTCACTCTTGTGAAATAATTTTGCCTCTGAGCTACCTATGCATTCTTAGTAGTTTGAAGAGGTTTGTGATTTTCCATTGAGATTTTGCTATGGGATCGAAGCTCGTCTGTAGTGGAAGTCGAGAAGCACTACGAGCTATTCCATTTTTATACAGATACGTGCAACACACACGTAACGATTCGTTGGCTGTGCTTTCCAAAAGCGCAACGCTTGCGCAATACAGCGCAGCTGATGTGTTTGTATTATACTGTTATCTGGGCGTTTATTAGACTATTTGGTAACTTCCATACGTGCTACCGTCAATCAAGCGTAGGTGCGCCTGATTGAGAGAAAGCGATCGCTCTTTAATAATTTTGCCAAATGCGATATGCGTCGGTTGTGATGTGCCTAACGCCTGTTTAGTGGTGTCCTGGGCATGGATTAGATCTTATTTTCATTTTTCTGTAACGCGTACTTGATTTCTTAATGACAACTGCATTAAGCGTGATGATTTTGGGTGGCATGTCCTTTTCGGTACTCATTCACTGTTCTAGGGCATCACACTTATCACAGCTTTATATGGAAGCTACGCGATTCAAAGGTGTTCAGTAGTGACTAAGTCGGATACCACGTAAATCCTCAGGGAATCGCACAACCATAATGGAGCCTAAGCAAACAAATTCTCTGAATGCTATTGGTAGTCAGCGTTGTTTGTAGAGAGAGCGACAACTGAGTATAAGGAAATTTACCCTTATTTAGTGTAGCAAAACACGTGCATAACATGAGATTTGAAGCCGAATAAATTCGGGCTAATTTTTTATTTTTAAAAAATGGATACAAAGGGTTGCGACCTTCAAAGAATAGCATTGGTGTTCACCAACGTGGACGTATTACCTGATTTATGGCAAGGTAGGGAGACAAACAGAAAACAGAGTCATCTACTGGAATGGCTCAGGTCGTCTAAGGTCAGTTTTCGGCAGACAGCCCAGCATGCCCTCCTAGGGTGATGTGTACCACCAGCAAGTAGGTGTTATATCGGACGGCGGACTAGTGCGGTCCCCGAAACAACCTTCACCAAGTTTGACTCAAACGAAAAAACGATTTAAATTGTGAATGTAATGCAAAATTGTCAGTGACCGTTTGCAACCCACATGTATAGATAAATTTCTGTAGAATTAAACCTGCTGCGCTTTGAACAAAGTCAGCACGTAAAAAAGGTTGAGAAAGAACCAGTGTCTGCCCTTAGACGGATGTCTAATCGTGAGAGTCACTGCAATTTCCAAGCTTATTGCACGTTTTTTCCATCAGAACAGACCGACATCCCTTGGTATGCTCCACTAAAGTCGGGGAGGGATAGTGAGAAATAATGCATACTAAACCCATCATTTTGCAACACAAAACCACAATTCAGAATCACCTAAATACAATAATAGTTTTACCCAGGTATGCGGTTCTGATGCATCTGCCGAAAATGATCACGTTTCAGTTATTCTCAAGACAGTTAGGAGACTCAACGTCGATGTCAAGCGCAATACTCATCAAATTTAATTTAGAAACGCAAGCGTAGTCTTAGCACGGTAGTGATTGTTCTACCAGACAGTGTTGAAATCGGGCTTTTAGTTACTTCGCCCTCATTTTCTCACAAATTGCGACCACAGATTAAACAGGCCGAGGACGGTGATTCACATTTTTCGAAGCAGAAAAGCCCTTGCCTATTCGCCTTCGAGCTTCATTCACAACAATAGAAATTTTGTAAATTAAACAAAATGTCATACGAATGCAATACAATCGGTTTACATCACTGGTCACGAAAATGAAACAAGAACAATTGATGAGCAAACTATTTCTCTGGGGAATAAAGTCGGACAAGTGGAGCAAGAAACGACAAAATGAGACAGCTACATAGTTGAACGAAACAATTCCAAAGGTAAATTTTTAGATAGAATGCCAACATCTAAATCATTCAATTTCCGGGCCTTTGAAAAGTTTTCGCTGGTTAACTAATACATTTTAATTGTACGTCACTCAGTCCCCTGTGGAAACAACTTTGGAAAACTTGGTCTCCCTAATTAAACTTTTGTTACGGGTAGCCAAAATGGACCAGCTAATTACTGAGCATTGACTCTAAATACGTAAATTTTTCCACGTTTCCAGATAATCCTGTAAAAAAGGAAGTCCAAATTCTCTGTACAAGCGTGATTTAGA